CCAAAATATGGTGCACACTGTTGCACGTGTATAATGTGTGTGTGTGTGGGTTGTGTTTTTACTGTGTGGAACCCTTTATTTACGCCCCATGGATCAAGAGGACCCCAGAGACCCATTTCCCAATTATGTGGGGGATACGTGGGGAGCTGAGACTGTGTTTTTCTATACCCCAGTATCCTGTCCTGGACCAGACTCTGGACTGACTCCCATTTAACTTGTTAGTGAAGTCTATTTGTCCATTTGTCTGATTGGATTAACAATGGGATTAACCCGACACTGGATGTAGCTGAGTACATTAACATATGATAGACAGTAGATAATCCCATCATATGTGTCTCCTCTCTCCCTATTCTTTCATTAATGCAACGGGTGAGGGGATGTCTGTCTGCATTCTGTTAATGTTTGATTGTATTCGGTTTTTAGACTTCCAGAACTGTATATATACTGTGCTGGTTTTCAATAAAGTCGGTTCTTGGTGTTTACCCTAATAGACTAGTCATGCCTGGGTATTAGGGGAAGGTTTGGGCTGTAATTATGATTTTCCGGTTACAGAGTGGAGGAAACTGATTTCTGACTGAGGAACCCAGTCGGGGTACCAGGTGGTCCGTCACAGACACTTCAATGCCTACTGTAAAAAAGTGAAGGTTATTCAACTACAAGGATTCACAGTCATCCAATGTGTCATCCAGACGCCACTTGCTTGATGATCTTTGTCACTGTGTCCTTCAATGAATGTAACAGAAAGTGAAGGTTATTGAATTGCTATCACAATTTCCTGACCTCAACATCACTGGGGCACTTTGGGGAGATCTGAAAGATGCAGTTTATGTTAGACAACCAAATAATATATAGGACCTGGCGTCTTTTTGCAGAAAATTGGCATCTTTACCACAGAAGTAAAGGGCCTCATTCACAACTATTACAAAAGACTGCATGCCCTTTTGCTAAAGGGGGCAATACATGAAGTTACAAATTAAAGGCTATGCAAACTTATGAACAGAACCATTTTAAATACCATGTCCATATTGCTATGGGTTGTTTAATCATTAAGCTATTCTGTGATGCCCAATAGTATAATTGAAATCATATTAAAAATAAAAGAAGTGTGTTTGGTCTAACACAAATATATATTAAAAAAAAAACACATGTTGCAAATTTTGTCAGGGTTATAAAAGCTTATGAGCACAACTGAACAAGATGGTCTTACACATCCACCGTCAAACCTGCAAAGGCATACAAATGCTGCATATGAACATGCTAAAATGGCCTAATATTAATATTTCAGAATCCTCATGACAGTAGTTTGACCAAGCGATTACTTGCGTTACTTTGCACTAGCATTCATCCCACAGTGTTACAAGTTAGAATTAAAATAGATATACCGTGTTTCCCCGAAAATAAGACCTAGTGCTAACTTCAGGGATTTCTGTAATATAAGACCCACCCCGAAAATAAGACCTAGTTCGGCGGTAGGGGGCGCACATGTATTGCTGCATCCAAGCAGCCAGCAAGGGGTCTGAGTGTAAAAATCAATGATATGTGCAGCTTATCTCCTGTCTGCACGTACGGTCTAATAAAATGTCACGATCGCAAAGCTCCCTCCCTCCGGCTGGCCCGTCTGCCCGCACGGCTACATGTACGGTCTAAAAATAAGTTAAGATCGTAAAAAACTTTCTGGCTGCAGCTCCCTCCCTCCGGCCCGCCCGACTGCCTCGGCTTTTAGGATGCCTGGACGGCATTAGAGAGCTCCAGATAGCTGTAGCCAGGTACCGTACTGTGTGACAGTCACAGTACCATTCTTTCACTCCCCTTCTCCAGTACTGTATGATACAGTACATTACATACCGGTATCTCTGCTCTGTGTGACAGTCACAGTCCTGATTTCTGTACATACATTTCCACCAAAAATAAGACCTAGTGTGTTTTTTTGGGGAAAAAAAAATATAAGACAGTCTTATTTTCGGGGAAACACGGTAATTTAAATAACATTAAAAAGTGTAACAAAAATCTACATATAATTTACCCAAGTTATAAATAAATATATTTTTTTAATGCATATCTATGTGCAACTGAAACTAAATACACCTGATTTCAAACATTTACATGAGAGAATATCTTAATAAGCTGCATCACAAAACAGAGGATAAAGTTCTGAAAAAAGCACCAATAAGGTTTGAAAAACCCCCAAATACTTGGACATCCTTAGGAGCACCAGTAAAGCCATTATTAATCATGGGAAGAATATTGTACAACAACAACAACTTTGAATAGAGAAGGCCATCTACAAAAAACGTATTTTGGTGGGCATTAGCCAAAGAAGCAAACAGTGGCAACTCTGAAGCAGCTACAGGATCCGGAGCTGAGATGGAAGAAACCATCTTTTGGACAACTATAACTTGGATGCTCCAGAAAGCTGGGCTTTAAGGAAGAAGGGTGAGAAAAAAGCCATTGCTAAAAATAAACCAGTCAAAGCGCCATTTGCCCTTAGGGATGTGCGAGACAACGCACACATGTGAAAATAGTTTATTTGGCCTGATAACCCCAAAAATTAAACTTGGCTTTTATTGAAAGACAATGGTGCTGATCCCCCCCCCAAGAGCAGAATGTCAACTATGAAGACTGGTTATAGCAGCATATTGTTGTGGGGATGTTTTGATCTATAAGGAATGGCCAGAAGGTTGAAGCCAATTAAATGCCAATTCTAAGGGAAAAAACAGTTTCAGTCTCCAAGAGACATCAGACTGGGGTGGACAGCAGTATCACTCAGACTAACTCATGATATGTGGCAAGACCTGAATATCCCTGTCCACCAACAGTCCCCATCAAAACTCACAGAGATAGAATAATTATCCCAAAAAGGATTGGTAGGAAATGCGGGATAGGGATGTATAAATCTTGAAGGTTCTTATCCCAAAGATCTAGCAACTGCAGTCAAAGGTGGTTCTGCCAAAAACTTATAGAGGGGTAGTCAAAGTTAGACAGCCAGCAAAAGATCACTTTTTTTCTTCTCATAACGTGGGCCCTGCCCTATACTCAAGTGGCCAGTCCATTTTTATTATTTTGTTACTTTTTTGTAATGTTTCTTGAACGGCTTTGAACGTTTGTTAAACACATTCCATACTATACATTTTCTGAAAGCACAGGCCACATAGAGTTAAAAGATGTATGTCCCGCGATAGTTTAAAACAATATTTTCCGTAAAAATAAAGTAAGATCATTGTTCATGCCCACAAAGAATATAATTTCCAAAAATCCTGCGAAGTCCAAAATATAAACTTTATTAAGTTACCAAATAACAAATATTGTAAACTTTATAATTTGTGCCTCGTTAAGAAATGATGAAATTGAAGGGACGCAAAACTGTAAATAAGAGATTTAATGCCTGAAAATCTCAAGGCTTGTATTTTGGTTACGTTACTGCAACGTTCTGTACAAGACTGTACAATCTACTCTGCATTGCCACAACAGTGTTTTTAAAGGGGTAAATATCTAGGATCTAAACAGACAACTGAGGTTTCCCATATGAGCTGCAGAAAGAGATCGAGAAAGTCTCCAATCTTCTGACACTGCACTACACTGAACCCAGAAATGCTCAGTACTAAGCGTGACTTCATTCAGAAACTGGAGGTCCTGTTACCACCTCCTTCAGTTTCTGAATAATCTTATACAGGTTTCGTACTGAGCATCTCTGTGTTCATTCAGAAACTAAAGGAGATTGGTAAACATGTGATTACATGTCATTACTGATCTTCCCGCTCAGCATCTTTGAAAAAGTCACTGATGATAGTGGCATGATGACAAAATGCCAGACTCCTCACCAGAGAAAGGAGGAGAGAGAGCAGCAGTGGGGGCAGCATGGAGTAGGGGATCGGAGGGCACACAGCAGAGGAAGTGACAGGGACCAGAGCACATAGTGAGAGGGCACACAGTGAAATGCAGACAGCGGGTAGGGATGGTGGAGGGAGAAACTCACATTTTTCACAGTTGGCATTGATCAGCGGTCTGTCAGCAGCCTAACCCCATCATTCATGAATTGGCAAGAGTCCAGGGTATCACTTTGTTTTAAATTCACGGTGGCTATATTGACCATGAGCCTTATAGCCTAAGTGAATGCTGTAGTAGACGCAAGGGTTACTGAGCTAGTCTGCTGTAAGCAGTTTTACTGACATAACCCTTATTAATATATGTGTTTAATATTCCCAAATTGGAGCTGAAGAGGTGTTTTAAAGGCTTCAGGAAAGCTGCTCAAAGCTTGCCAAAAATATGGTGTTCACACTGCTCTTTTAGAAACTGAAGCCCGTGTGAACTAGGAATTAAGGGTTAAGGGCTAAGAGTTAGGACTATGAGAATTGAGTTTGTTTGTACAATCTCAAGCTGACTGCTTACCTTTTTTGAGGACTTCAGTTGGGCTATAAGACAAAAAACATTTGCACCTTCAAAGTATTAGATATGTTATGTTAATCAAATAGTAAAAGTCCCAGATAAATCCATTTAAGTTCCAGGCTGCAGTATTGTAAATGAGCAATAGTACAAAGGGAGAGGGCAAATCCTTATGCAAAGAACTGTGATCTGCTTCAAGTCTATGTGTAACCAGATCTGAGAAATGAATAGAATAGGTGCTTTGAACCCAGCTACATTAATCTGACCATAAAACAGCTCATGGGAAAATGGATCTAAAAATCTCTCATTTATGATGTCATGTAACATTATACAGAGTACACCTATTTCAGTCACAGCTCTATGGGCTCTCTTAGGCTACTGTTCTTACCACATACAATTATGCTCTAGGGCAAAACTGATTAAATGTCAACAAATCTGCTGGCAGGTTTCTGTTATGTGGGAATAAACTGGATTACCTGGATAAAACTCATGCAAACATGGGTAGAGCACACAAATTCTGTACCTTGTCCTTGGTGGCATTCAAACTCAACAATAACTACACAGCCACGGCACTGGCCTAGAAAACAAGATTCTAATTTCGTAACCTTTCTAAAAAAAAGAAAAGTCTGAATGAGAGCTGCATAACAGTTATACAGTCTTTTATGAAACCTCTTTACTATTATGAAAGCTAATTACTGCACATTAGCAAGAATTTTCCACGCGCTAAATTACTGGACCAGTTGTTGAAAAACAAATAGGATAGCACAAAATGACAGCAGTAAGATCAGCCATGTTTTGTCCAACGCCACTACTGGAAGCAATCTTTGTAAGAAAATATATTTCAAATATTTCAGGAAGAATTAGTTACACTACGAAGAAATCAGACAAATGTATATACAAATTAAAAAATCACGTAAAAGGAAGGAAGAGGGAAAAATGGGTCAACAGATATGTTTCTGGAGTACAGAAATAAGAGGTAAGAGTTGAGGGGAAACAGAATTTATGGGGCGGTAAGGAGCTCCACTTCCAATTCAAGCTGTCCACTTCATCAGCAGGAACAGTTGCCACATCCTTTAACGCTGTTAATGATCTCCTCCTGCAGTTTCTTTCGTTCCTCCTCTTTGGACATTTCTTGGCTACTTTTCTCAGATGCCTGGTTGCTGTGACTGTTTAAGACCCTGTTACTCTGCGTGTGCCACAGTTCAGAATAAAGGCTGTTGGGGTTTGCTAAGAGTCCGAAATGCGTCCCTCTCTCTGCAACTTTACCCTGCAGAAATAAATCACAGTCAAGCTAGAGTAAATTAACTCATTCTTTCTCTTGCATCAAGGTTAATTAGCATGTGCAGCCTTTATATCAAATTCAAACACAGGAAAATAATACATTACTGAAGCCAAGAACTTACTTATTACAATCATACTTTACAATTTCTATCATATACAGTCCTCCCACTACTGCCCTCTAGCTTATCTGTTCATATACTGGGTGTAGTGATGGCTGATTCTCCACTGCCTCTACTGTGGGTGAACAGCTCATAAACACCAAATCATGCAGGCCTACATGGGACATTGGTAAATAAAAATGGGCTACAATTTTATCAATGGCTACATCTAAAGTAAATCTATGTAGGGATGTAGAGGTCAGAGATGCAGCAAATGGATTAGACCAAAACTTTCTCCACAGACTAACAGTTCACCCATGGCTCGATTGCCATGCAGAACAAGTGAATCACAATTAACAGAGCATCAAGACAATACAATATAGAATACATTAAATCACAGTGAAAGAAAAGGACTTAAAACCCCTCAGCACAGTCCCCTATAAAGCTTTAAAAAATACAATATTTATAAGGGTACGTCACCAGTGATGTGTCCAATGTCATAGTTGGAGTAAATGATTTAGTACAAAACAGCTAGTATGGGCTTTTAAAGAGATGCTCATCTTAAAGCAGAACTACACTCATCAATTCAACAGGTTTCCAAAAATACGCTCCAATTAGAAATGTTAATTAACTGCCAATACATTGTAATCAAACATTCCTCAAACATGCCCTCATATGGCCAATATCATAGTTGGCCATGTTTGCAGCACCATGACAAATGCAGATCTTAACAAAAGCTAAGACAGAACTGTCCTCACCACATAAGAGTATATGAGGATTTAAACATGCCAGTTTATAATATTGTGATTTCTGGAAAATAAAAATCACAGGAAGCCTAAAGCTCATTATTACTCTCAGCTGTCCATAAGCTTTTTATACTGTATATGTGAAATGACTAATGCTTAGGCTTCTCTCCCCTTCTCTCTGCTGTAAGTGCCTACTGCTGTGAGAAAAGGCTGAGTGCTGACAGAACACTAAACATTTATAATTTGCTGCCTGTTAGTTTTGGGGAACCCATTAGTTAGGAGTTGCCCTGATTTTATTTGGTGGCTCAGATGACCATATGTTTTGCTTGTTTGTTTTATTATATGGACTGAGTGTAACAAAGCCCTCCAGCATTGAAAAGTGTGTTTGCTGTCTTGCTGACAGTGCAGGACCAATCTGCTTAGACTGTTACTTGGTGTCCCTGTCTTGTGCATGGTTTGCCACTGCCAATGCTAGTTGAACATTTCCCCCTTGCAAACTTCTGACCACTCACAGAATAATGAGCTCCAGCACCTTATCCACGTTGCAGTTCAAACAAAGGTATGTGGCACCACGGAATGCCCTTTGCCAATGCTTCTCTTTTATTTGCAAATATATCATAAATAGCAGTTACCAGGAGCAACAGTCTGGGGTGACAAATCCTTCATCAGGTCAACGTGTAACTGGTATGAAGATCAGTAACAGTTTATATATCCCACACAGGAAATACATCCCTAAACATAACTACTAAGCAATCCCCTAATACAGGAGCAGTAAGGTAATTGATCTGCATCAGCTGATACATTGTTAACTCTTTCTCATCAAACCAGAAGTCTGAATTTTCACCTCCACCTAAATCTGTAAAAACAATCAATCAAGACCCTATCAGGAGAACCAAGGAATAAAGATAAACCAATAATGTAAGGCTAGATGGAACCCAGCGTATTTATTCTGTGGATCCACCACACCTTACATTTTTTTTTATTGAAATATCCCATCTTCACTCTTAATCGACCTCGGTATATGATTCAAAATGAGAACGTTTGAGTCCTTGCTCTGAAAAGTGTTAAGGGACTGGAAGTGCATTTCTAAATTGAATTATTTCTTTCTATTATTTGTGTTTTCCCAAAATGTAATATATGGTTTGGGGATGAATTAACATAGCACCTTTCTGTATGAGTGGGCACTGTATGCAGCTGAGTATGACTCCTTATTCCTGGGGAGCGATGCCTCAATAGCTGGATTCCTTGGAATGTCCGAAAGCACAATCCAATCCTGAAAGGATCCACTATGCCCTAAAAAGCCTGTAATGACAACTTATGTAACTCCTCAGTGTATAGATAAGCACTTCCTAAGCCTCACCGGATGACAATAACCTTATCACTAAATGTGTGAAACTTTGATACTAAAGGATTTTCTATGTCTTGTTATTTAACCTTTTCTTTCTGGTACATGGGTTCTCAATTATCTCTAGCTCACCCTGTAATAGTTGCACAGGGGAACATCTTATTTGGAATTTCCCCAGCAAATCCTCCAATTGAGATTATATCTTCCCTGGATCGCTTGCGATCTTTACCACACATCATTTGGCTACATACCACTGATTGGAAGACATGTAGAGGGTGAAAGCTGATGAATAATAAAATATGTTTTAATCTGTAGGTTTTGAATACAGATCCGAACTCAGACCCATTCCATGTTACCAACAGTCCAAAAAAGTGACACTGGAAGCATAATTTACAATTCTGAACTTGATCATCTCAACCTGTAAATTCAAGTATTGACTGTATTGCAATAAGGACTCAACATTGCCCTGCCATATCATGGAGATGTAATTAATATAGCTCAAACAACTCACACAGTGGTTGGTGAATGCCAAAATGGAAAAAACAAAAACTCATGCATGTAGGCCCCTATGCAAATGCCAGAGCCACATTTGAACCCAATGAGATTCCACAACACTGCAGATAGAATGTTTCCTTACAGAAAAAAAAAAATCAGCAAAATAGAATTTTTATATTGTCCTTAAAATTCTTTTCTTTGAGTCAATTGATTGGAAGACACAGGAAGTCGTATTCTGTTGAGTTATACTGCGGTCTACAGAAGGACTGGACACCGGCAATAAAAAAAAATAAAAAATCTGTAGGCTAGCCCAGGATAACCCCTCCTAGTGTCAGCATGCCGCCGTTTGAAGCAAGCAATACCAAGAGCATGATCACAAACACAGAAGGTTGAAACCTGTGTCCCTCAATAGACTTCAAGATTTCGGAGTCCATTAACTTTTGTGGTAACTACAAATATCCTATTTTCTTTTACTTCCATTTAGGGACAGAGGAAGTCTTTTACTGTTGGATGTCCAAAAACAGCCCAATTGAGGGGCGGGTAACAGCAAACAACCACTAACAGGTCCAACATGAACAAAACTAGGGACTGTGTGGAGCTCAAGAGCCACCTGAAGGACCAGTGCACCTTAAGCTGGCACCGCATAAGTGCAAACCCCTCAACTGGTAACAATAGGTGATAAGTAAGTAGGGGAAACTAAGCCCGATGCCAGAAGAGAATGCCTACAACTAGTGAGGATACAACATGGGAGAGAACCCCAAATCATAGATCAGAACTTAGAAACAGGTCCACATAAGCCATCCAGAAAGGTGGAATAAAAAATAGGATTTTTGTACTTACCATAAGCTCTGTCCATTCAGAGACACATAATTTCATATACAGTTCAGTTTTGCTGCCACCTCTAGGAGTAATGAAAACTGGCAAACAGAAAAATTGTAAGCCGGCCCCCATAACCCCTTAGCTAACCAGCAGACTTCAGTTTTGTGGGAAAGCAGAGAGGTGAGATCTCTGTCTCTTTGGACTCCAAGAAATATATTTTTGTGGTAAATACAAAAATCTAATTTTCTTTCTTGTCATATACCCAGCAATTGGGTCCTACTCAAGCAACCACAAAGTCCTTCAGACGTACCCAATCCCCAATAGGGTACACCTGCAGCAGGAACTAAGCAAGTTCCTCCTGCTGACCGTCCAGATGGGCAGAGTCCTCCAGTGATCATTTCTGCCTGCCACACGAGAGGAGGAGCAAGCAGGTAAGCACCCCCCTCCTTTGGTGTGGAGACCACTAGCTGAGGAGAGAGAACTTTCTTTAGTCCCCTCTGAGCCTTAGCGAAGAGGAGTTGCATCTGTGCAGCAGTAAAGCAACTAGCCACAAATGTGAGGCATGGCCTCAGGTACTCTCAAAGCCAGGCAGCTGGTGGTGCCAGGGTTACTGGAGGTGGGCAGTTGAGATAGACCCTGTAAGTTATAAAGAATTGAGCCTGACTGACTCGTTTGGATAGTCCTGTTTTGTACTTCAGAGAAGATGATGGCTTTAGACATCATACGCAGTACTCCTTTCTTAACATATAAGCCCAGATATTTTACTGATAGACCTGTCTTGCATGCAGTCAAGATCACTAACCGTATAATCCAACTATCTTTTCAAAGGCAAATCTTAAAACACTAGAAAAAAGAAAAGATTTTAAAAGAATGTATTGTAATGGTAGTATTATAACAATTACAAAAAAGGGTAGAGGTTTGTTCATGCGTAGACAGCAGTAACAGTGGAATTTCTTTGTCTTCCCATTCCAGTGCTGCCATGTGTCTGAGTGTCTGATCATGCTGTCTTCCTAAGGGGCTAGTGTGAATGCCATACCAGCAGGAAACAATGTATAACAGCAGGAATGTGGCTCTAAAACAAGATGCACTATCCACACATCTAACAAAAAGATAGTGATGTAATGCCTCTACAGACTAATATACCTACAATACACCACATAGCACACAAACACGCTCATCAGATTTCTGCTATCACATTACAACTGTCACTGGCAGATCAAAAATCATATATATTATAATTTGGAAACATATGGAAAACTGTAGGTAACAGATCTCACTTGTCCCTAAAACAAGAACGAAAGTGTGCATAGACATCCCCACAAGGCTGTGGTGTTAGCAGGGCAAGACATGCATTATGCCTTTACTGTCAATTTAATTTGGCGACAGATGTCCTTAATATAAAAAGCAACAGAGATTAGGATAGGAGCAAAATTATGTACTGTATGACCATTGGCAGACATTTCTCATCCTGTTATTAAGGACATAAACTGCAAATGAAATAAGCCAAACCTCAGTGTTATTTCAGGTTTTTAACCATCATAAAGTACCTTTGCTTAGGTTCATAAGCAAACCTTCCCTGACTTCTGGTGCCATTTCATTCACATAAATGATATGCCATTTACGGTGTCAGATGCCTGCATCCTCCACCACTTTCACCAACCTTGGAACAGGATGGAGAATGTAAGGATCCAACACACCAGGAAGTTTGTCAGATATCAAGATTATTTGGGCTACGTAGCTCTCCAGCAAAGCAAAGATACCACATACTGGACCAGACCAGGTAAGTATAAAGCCTTTTCCAACGTTTGTTTTAGTTTTGTTTTCTGCGACAGGGATGCTTTAGGTTTTTATGGCAATTAAAGAACACTGTATTAACTACTGACCAGACAGGGTTAATAAAAAAATAAGGAGACATCTATAGATCTGGAAAGCCACAGCTTTTGCTCATGATAAAACAAGTAGCTGTGAGCCAGGGCATCTGCTTGAAGTAAGAGTTGGCTACCAGAAAGGAATAATGGCCACTAAACAGATTGGAAGTGGGAGAAGACATCTGCATAATTAACACCTTTGCTGCTGAAGAGATCCATCTAACTCTGCAAACACATTCTAGAAACCTACTTCCTCTCTAAGTCTCTTTACTTCCATAGCCCTGCTGAATGTTTATAGTTTATTAGTCTTTTTATACTAAAACATTTTACTACCCCATATTTGTATAATCCAACAATTTACATATGGCTGCAAATTGTGTAAAGGTTTCATGAGAATAACAAACAGAGGGATGTGTACAAAGATATGCCAAGAGCAGTAATGTGTAATCCTTCATTGTCTAATACACAGGCCGGTGAAAAGGGGGGGGGGGGTTCTCATCCAGTGTTCCTGACCTAACCTTGCTGCAGTTGCAGGAGAGTTGCAGCTGTGCTGGTATTGGCACAGTGCGGTGCTCACAAAACTGACTGCACAGCCAAACTACATCATTTTCAGAACATACAATGAGGGACATTTATCAAAACTGGAGCAGCTCTGCATGGCAACCAACCAATCAGCTTCCCTTTTTCATTTTAAAATCTTCACTGAACAAACTGAAGAGCGGAGGTGATTGGTTGCTGTGCACAGCTGCTCCAGTTTTGACAAATTCCCCTCAATGTATATTCAAGTGACATGAGGATTATGTGATCTGCAGCAAACCGCAGGGAATCACATCTGGACCATCATTTTTTTTTTCCCTGCTGTTTGTGAAAGAATGAAGACACCTGTGTGTACATTTCCAATTAGGTATCCACTGGTGCCTTCGTGAACTAACAATATGATCAGCCAGGAAATCTCACTGACTGATTTTTTTTAAAAACCTGAATGTTTACCAAGACTCCTGGAGTAAGTTATGTGTCCAGTTGCATCATTTCTTTTAAAGGTATATCCAGCGACAACGTCAGTCTTTGAACTGTTGTTAATTCTATTTCTTAAAAATGTAGGAAGAAAATGGCAACACAAAGAAGGTCTTCTATTCTTTTTACTCCTCGGTCCACGTGAAACTGAGCATTACATTTTCTCTTATGTTTAAAAACTATAATCTGCTGAGGTTATGTTTTTGATGCTTTTTAACATTTTACACTACAGTCGATAAACAACATATATAAAAAAACTCCACAGGATCCCGTGTCATTCTGATGTTTAAGACCAATTCCAGTATTTTAAAAGAAAAGATGATTAAGTTCCCTTTTGTTTCCTTCAGTCTTGCAGTGCTAGAGTGTGAGAAGAGTAGAGAGATGTAAACACATGACACAGTAGTGACATTTGTGTGTTGCTCTAGGCCTTCAAATTCCACAAAGGTTTGGAAAGATCTTATTTAAAGGCCATCTTGAAAGGTCTATGGGCGTGATGTTGGGCTTTATTTGTTAAATATATGCATGCCTCTTGCCCAGTTCATACACTTACACACTCCCAATCACAATGTGGGCGTCTCCACGCTCTGAAACACCACATAATATAATGATGCATAATGACGCAAGTCACGTGGATGAGCACTACAGGAGGTGTGGCCAGAACTCCTAATGGATAGAGGAAGTGGTTGAATGATGCTGGACATCATTAAGCTTGGTAAGAGGCACTGGATGGGACAAGACTGGCTATGTCTGTATAGCATGAAAAGGAAAGTACGTAAAGTGCTGAAAGCTACTTTAGAGGTACCAGCATGTCTACTAGCATAAGAAGTTAGAAATCTGCATTGTAGTTCGGCTTTATTCTTTTTTTTTTTTTTTTTAAGGTGGCCTAAAAGCTGAATGAAACTGCAAGAACTGTTTTGTAGAAGGAAAAAAAGTCTGCTCCAAGATGGATGCATACTGCTAATGTTTTGTGTCAGTCTTTACTCCTCGCTTTCTACAGGTTCTACAGCTAAGCTTTGACTGAGACAGACCATTCTATAAAAAATAAATATTCACCTAACTTATCCATTATACAAGTTATTTAGGTACTGCTTACCTGATCCAGCACTATAATTTCATCTGCATCAACGATGGTAGACAACCTGTGAGCGATGAACACAGAGGTCCTGTGTTTTACTATATCACGCATCGAGCTGAGAATATTCTGTCAAATGAAAAGAATGATGTAAAACAAGGACTTCACAGGTAAACCATCAGACCGAATTAAGGCAAAATGTATCTTTACTACTGAACCAGTACCCTAAACATGCATGTATTGTTACATCCTGCCAGTGAGATTATGTAATTAGGAAAAAAGTCACAATGCACTAAAATCTTCAGTTTCATATGGAGACTTTACTATCTAGAAGTACAATCAAAAGCAGGAATTTTCGATGCTCCTCAGCTCCATTTAGTGGCGGTAGTGCCAAAGAGAACCTCATTCGCCCAGTATGGTAGGTGGACGATTTATAAATCAACCCCTTACTGTCCTTCAAATGCTGTCTGCATTCTTAAGCTGGGAGATAGTGTGTGTGAGATCAGACAATTAGCAGTCCAAGTGTCACACACGTTTCTCCTCCTGACAAGATTCTTTTGAATCTCTGGGACAAATGACACTGATCTATTATAAAATAAAACTATGCCTCTTGTGTCCAATACATTGTTAACAGCCAAATGCATAGACCAAATATTTACATAAAGTGCACTTGTGCCCAGACTATGGACATTCACATGGGGGAATTTATTACAACTGGAGCAGACAAAATCTGAAGCAGTTGCCTATGGCAACCAATCAGCTTCTCTCTTCAGTTTGTTCAGTGAAGATTTGAAAATGAAAGAGAGAAGCTGATTGGTTGCCATGCACGGCTGCTCCAGATTTTGTCTGCTTCAGTTGTAATAAAATTTCCCCTCCCAGTATTTATACCTTCTTTACAAGCAAAAAAAGGGGCTTTAAAACAAGCACTCACTGACCTCTAGCTGTATGTAGTATAAAGTAATTCGCTGTCAAAGTTCACAACAGAGATTCTAAAAGGTGAGTTTCAGGCAGATTCTAACAGCTCTAAAACACCTAAAGACTGTCAGACTGCTAAGTTCTGCTCTCAGTAGAAACTAAATGGAGAAGAAGTTGTGATTTTAACGTCTGTACTGTGAAATTGAAAGCAGAGCTTCCCCACAATGTTTATAGATACAGGCATGAATGAGTGCTTGTGCTATAGTGCATTTACTGCTTCTTCAGAATATGTACTTTAGTGTGCATAGCCTAGGCACAGGTTCACTTTAACACAGCTGTATGTATGGCATCCAAAGGCAATAAGCAAACAATACTAATGGACACAATAGGTACTTAAACGTACAGTCATAACCTGGTATTACCGAGAAAGAGTTCCCCAAAGCTAGACTATAATCAGAAAGCATCCAACTACATTATATCACGGGATGGAATTCATTAGATCTCTCTGACTTCTTACAGCGTATACTCTCTACCTCGTTATCTAGAGATACTATGCTGGTCAACCTAGAAGCTTTTCCATTTCCTTACAATACCAGGCATTTCCATGTTACATATGCAACACAAAATATGCGCTCTGGCTAAACAGATTATGCAATGTAAGGGCTACACTAAATACTCGACTCTATGGGATAATCAGAATTATCCTAAACTACAAACTAGAGGGGTTTGATATGTGCGATAGATGCGGGGTTACTCAGTTTCAGTTTTTACAATTGCATTATGCAGTAACGACCTAAGCTTTGCTCTTGGAAATATGTGGATGCTCGCTTCTGTCACACTGCAGGCTCTGAATCTAAGAAGGAACTTATAGTAATGATTTACAAAACCCTAATACTCCAACATGGGAAAAGTCTTTCATTACCCTGCAGGATAGGATAGGAAGGTGAGTGGGTCAAGTATCTGATAAGGAATGGTCCAATGTTCTGTTAGTGTGGTCTCTGAGGTATTAATTTCTCCCATACAGAAATGATCATACCCCATTAAAATTACTCCAGTGGTCACGTAGAAATGACCCCATTTGTATAAGATATGACCTTGACTCTGGTACACTGTTGCATATGTTGTGAAAATGTCCTAAACATGTGGGATATTGGGGGAAAGTTACTCATACGATATACATGGTAGTGTATAGGCATAGAGGCCCGAGAAATTTCTCTAGTGTTAGCAAAACTTGTTGACAACCTTGGGCATTTCCCCCCTCAGTTAATTTTGGAATAACAAATTACTCAATTGGATCTTAGGTTCCTGGGTCAATGTCAGATGGGTTGCTCAAGTGTATAAAAGCAAAGTGGGACCTCATCTTGTCTTATCTGACCCCATTTTGTTCTCCTTCAGAAGGTCAGCCTTTATTATTTATATAGGGGTGAAAAAACGTGGTTACTCTTCTTTGTTTTAATTGCTCATTCTACCATTTGACCATTATGCTAATGATTATCCATCACTGTAATGAAACACAAATTGTTGACAAATCGTGTATTGGTTGCTGTATGGAGGTTTCAGTCTATATAATTTAATGGTGTTGTACAATTTATGAGGGATGCGCATTACCGTTTGTCAATAAAAAATAACCCATCTGATTAAAAGAAAAAAAAGAAGAAAGAGTAATTATTACAAAGCTAGTAATTCCACTTGCCTTTCAAGAAAAATCAAACACGTTAGTAAGATCATAACAGAATGAGGGGAATTTATCAAAACTAGAGCAGACAGAATTTGGAGTAGTTGCCCAGGGCAACCAATCAGCTTCTCTCTTCGATGTGTTGAGTTAAGATTTGAAAATGAAAGATAGAAACTGATTGGTTACCCTGCACAGCTACTCCAGATGTTCTCTGCTCCAATTTTGATAAATTCCTTTCAATGTATTTAACCTGTTAAAACCCTTTCCAACATTCTTTCGATTCAGCAATGTTTAAGATTTGAACGAGACCAGGAGGTTGATAGTTAATTACAAAGGAAAGACATTTCTATTTAATTTTCCTATGAGAAAATAACTGAACCAAAAACACTGTCACATTTATCAGATTAAATGGTGATAATTAACAGTTGTAAGGAACAACACCGTAAGAGTTATACATCATGTATTATATTACATTGTATGAAAACCTTTGGTGTCACCAGAGTAACCATATGTTTTATGCCTTTAAATTCAATTTATTTTACCTTAAAAAGGAAAAGCTTCCAACAGCCACTGTCACAAACATACATGACTGTGTTGATTTAGAGATGAGAACAATATCTGGCAATGAGCAATGTTTTTATGACCCTTTCACTACAGAAAAGCACGTACTGAAGTAAAGCTGCATTTTCAAATGTATGTCTATAAATAGGAAGTTATAGAACATTTCTCAGAACTTTTTTGTCGGGCAGAAAAACACAAAGACAGGCTGTTCAACACTGGCACAGAACTCTTTTTTTTTTTTTGGCAATATGTAATGAAAATGTGAAACTAAGTGTAATGTTATTGCTATAGCTATTTCATAAAAAAATTATCTATACTGCAAGCACTGTGGTTCAGTTCTAAAGTTAGTACAAGGAATCATTTAGGAGACTTTCCAGTGCAGGTAAGAAAATTAAAGAATTCTGCTTGCCAATTACAAAATCTCCATTTTGTTTTCTTTGCAATATTTTAATAATTAATTCTTACTCCAATGCAATAAGATTAGCTAATGAGTTCAAGGAGTAACATTTTAACAAATCCAGTGACACTGATGTTGTTCTCAGGATACCCCTCTCCTTGTGATATTTCTTTTTACCAAGCAATTACAGTTAATTGGGCAAAAATTCAAATCACTTTATGAGTTTTATTCACACAAAACATGACACACTAAACTCAGCATTTACACCTTAAAATTGCATTCAAGTACCTTAACTATTACCAAAAAGTAGCTTGTGCATCACTTGGCTGTAGATCCTCAAATCATCTCTGAATTCATGCGGACTCTGTCCTTCCTTCTGGAGGGCGAGTACTTTTGTTCCCCATGGTCCCTGTGTGTGTTGTAAAGTAGTCACCACTCCAAGCTCACTCCTGTGATAGACTACAATCTCACGTTCAGTTAGTTAATTTGTATTGAAGTTATAATCTGTCACGGGAGTGAGCTTGGAGCATTGTCTACTTTACAACACACACAGGGACCATGGGGAACAGAAGTAGCCCCGCCTCCAGAAGGAAGGACAGTGTCAGCACCAATTCAGAGATGATTTGAGGATCTACAGCTGAGTGATACACAAATAAAATACATTTTTGTTAATAGTTAAGGTACCTGAATGTATTTTTAACTCTTGAGTTTACGGTCACTTTAAGTCAATTGGTGTATGATTGAAAGGTGATGTTATCACCAAGGTTTACTGCAAGCAGAAATTGGAGATTTGCAGTCTATAAAGAATAATGAATAAGGTGAATTGTGGCAAAGCAGTACCCTGAAAATCTACCTTTTGCCTTGAGTTTCTCATGAACAGTTGCAGCACACCTCTTGACATGCAACACTGCCTAGGCACTGTTCCTGCAGCCGCATAGCTGTATATCTGAAGTGTTAAATAATCTAAGGCAGATCCTGTCCACTCCTGCCTCTGGCGATTGCTATTCCCATAAGAATTTTAGGGTCTTTCTTTGCAATTTAGTGACATTTGACTATTATGCTGCTCATTGCTCTTCCGAGAACCAGATGGAAAGGATGCTGTAGCTGAGGACCTGTAGGCAAGCCTCTTATTGCCGTTTCCCCTTCTCCCCCTGTGCTATGTGTTAAGTGCCTCCTTGTCCTCCTTTTGCATCTTGATGTTTCCCTCTCCTGGGCTGTTGCTTTCTATAGATCTGCCCCTTGTTAACCGGCTTCTACCAACGCTAGGTGTATCAGTGGATATGTTCTTCCTAACACCTCATCAGGTGGGATGAGTCTGGCATGAGAAAGCACAGCCCCACTCCTCTATTAACATTACTTTCACCACAGCAAAACACAGTGAGCCTATGGGTAACGCTAATGACTAGTCAATAGACCATTGCTTAGCTTCCACATTCTAGGTCCACTTTAAGTAGCTTTGGGTCCTAGCAGGTGTATTCTGTCAGTTCCTTTGTTTCTTTCTACATATGCCTTCACTGTCTTGTCTCCAACAGAGAGTTTTATAAACAATGAACTTACCTCCTCAGTAATGGAGTCCAAGGAAGAAGTGGCTTCATCATACAAAATAATTGGAGGGTTCTTTAACATTGCTCTGGCAATTGCCACCCGCTGCTTTTCTCCACCTTAGAAAAAGAATCAAAAATTATTAAATTGTTATGCAAACTTTATTAAGGTAAAAAATACATTCCCAAAATGCCATGATATACAGAACAGTAAAATGTTTCAAAAATATGCAAATGTATGCTTAAAAAGCAATCCTTGGGCTCCTGTCAAGTGGCATTCCCTAAGCTGAGATGATGCCATCAGTAATATTGTGTTGTATTACGTAAACCTTTAATAATAAAAAAACAAAAACAAATTGAGAGGCTGCTGCAAGGACTGAGCTGGATCAGACATTTGGGAACACAGCCAAGAAGTGGACAAGCATCTGGATTTGTGTAATCTGTAGACCAGTGTCTCAGTGCAAGACTGCTGAACCTAGATCAGTGGTTCTCAACCTGTGTAACCTCGGGACCCACATTTGTCCTTAGTCATTAAGTCAGCACCGCATGGACCCAAGTTGCACTGCACTGGAGCGCACGGCATTGCGGTACCGCACATTCCGGTACAAGTGATTGAACTGTGGTTGAGAGGTGCATTTGGTGTGCCAGTCAAATGAATGGCAATGCAACTCCTGTACCAGTAGGCGCAATTGCGTGGTACACAGTGTGTTAATTGCATGGGACTGTGTGATTAACGCACTGTACTAGTGTGAACGGGTCCTCAAAATTACTGACAGACACACACAACCACAGACACAATCTCACACACTTCTAAGCAGACTCAGATGTGCTGTTCAAGCTCTTTTGAAGAAGCACATAGAAATGGGCAACGTTGAGGACCATGGACGCAGTGGTGAGCCAAGGAAACTTAATGCAGCAGATGAAAGTCACATCATGCTTACTTCCCTTCGACATCAGATGATGTCCAGCAGTGCCATCAACACCAAACTGACGGTAACCAGTGGGACCCAGGTACACCCAACTACTGTCTGAAGAAGTCTGGCCAGAAGTGGTCTTCATGGAAGTATTGCAGACAAAAAGTCATACCTCCGACGTGGAAATGCTAAGCGACTCAACTATGCACGACAACATAGGGACTGGGGTGCAGAAAAATGGGTGCAGGTGCTCTGGACTGATGAGTCAAATTTTAAAATATTTTGCTGAAGTAGGAGGCAGTTTGTGCGCCAAAGGGCTGGAGCGCGGTACAATAATGAGTGTCTGCGGCAACAGTGAAGCATGGTGGAGGTTCCTTGTAAGTCTGGGGCAGCATTTCTGCAAATGGAGTTGGAGATTTGGTCAAGATCAATGGTGTCCTCAATGCTGAGAAATACCAGCAGATACTTATCCATCATGCCATACCATCAGGGCGGCGTGTGATTGTCCCCAAATGTATTCTGCTGCAGGACAGTGACCCCAAACATACAGCCAATGTCATTAAGAACGATCTTCAGTGTAAGGAAGTACAAGGAGTCCTGGAAGTGAGGGTTTGGCCCCCACAGAGCCATGTTCTCAACATCATAGAGTCTGTTTGTGATTACATGGAGACAGAAGGATTTGAGGCAGCCTACATCCACAGAAGATTTGTGGTTAGTTCTCCAAGATGTTTGGAGCAACCTACCTGCCGAGTTCCTTCAAAAACTATGTGCAAGTGGACCTAGAAGAATTGAAGCCAAAGGATGATCACACCAATAATTGATTTGATTTGGATTTCTCTTCTGATCATTTATTTCCCATTTGTTAATTGATAAAAATAAACTATACACAATTTTTTTTTTCTAAAAGCATTCTTACTTTACAGCATTTTTCACACCTGCCTAAAACTTCTGCACAGTAATATATTGTGTATGTGTGTATATATATGGATATGGTGCTATGGATGCTTTAGGCAAATACCTGCAAGTTCCAGCTAAGGCATTAGCAGCACCACAGAATCACATATGCAAAGTTGTAAGCACACATGGAATGGATCTACAGACATACAGATATTCCTAAAGATTCAGCCATTGGAAATAGTAGCACATGCATTTCTTAAACAAACTCATTGAAAGAAAATGGAGTGGATCCTACTTGTCATCTTGTCCATGCATGTGATCATTCCAGTACAACCATAGTTTCCGATGATGCAGCTGAGTCATCGTTCTTTCCCTGGAGTCACAAGACCAGGAGGCTAAGCAAGTGTTCAACCTGCCGCACCGAAACTCCAAGGCTATGGGGGAGGCTTCCCTTAGAAGATTGCATTTAGCCACCTGAACAAAGGGAACTTCGCAACAGGAGAGGCTGAACCTGTGCGGCAGGCCAGAAGAAACCAGCAAGGTGAGGGCAAAAACTCAAACATATTTCTTAGTAAAACCGGCTTGAGCAGTGAGGACAGAAAAAAGAATGGTGGCCTACACACACACACACAATCACACCATAACAGAGAAATTTACAAAAGTGTTTCAGAATACTATCGATACCACGTCTACCTAAACATAACTTGCATTTTAGACTTAGCAGTGCATTTAATGTAAATTTGTTGACCTAATTTTACAAACAAGCCCAACATGAAACGATGCAATGGATACTACAGCCCACCCTAAAAAGCAATCCAAAACTGTTAAATGTCCAGGGCACAAGCAGCAAGTTGCTTACAAAAACCCAGTTACAGAAAATAGTAACTCATTTAAATCAAACAAGCTTTCATGAATCATGAATAAACAGCTAATCCCACATCTAGGCCTCAACAGTGTGAGGCAAAGACAGAACAGCAATGATTTATTTAGCCTTTGATAAGAAATAGTATTCAAGCCACCAAGTGGGCAGTGTGCCCAGTAACAAGCACATCCCAGAGGGTAACATTTTTTGCTGCGCTTCTCAGAAACCCTCTGTGACTCAAGACACATAATTTAATTACACACAAAAGTTACTTAACACCAAAGAGTTTATTGAAGGGTCCTCTTATCTAAGCTATTGTAACCATATAAAATAAGAAGAAATCTTAATTTTCGCTTACCAAACAAGCAGCTCCAGCAAAAAGCATCACATATTACTGGTCTATCCTTATTATTTAAATGTTATTGCTTTATTTTTTAACTAATGGAAATCACTTGTAAACACTGTTTTTAGGGTGGACTTTACCTGATAATTTGAGTCCTCGTTCTCCTACTTGGGTGTTGTAACCATGAGGCATCCGGAGAATAGCATCGTGCAGTCCTGCTAACTTAGCTATGTCATACACTTCTTCTGGTGAGGCATTAATATTTCCATACATCAAGTTATAATACAGTGTGTTATGAAAAAGGACAGCATCCTATAGAAGAAAAAATATAATTTAATAAGCAGTGAAACCTCTCCCCAAAGTTAAAATTATATATAACAGTTGAGCCTGTCCTCAAAAATGCTCCTATTTCAGGCAGTTATGGGTAAGCAATGTAAAGGGCCCACAAAAATAGCCACCTAACCCCTAGGGGGTTACACCTAAATAGATTGTAGATTTTTACACTGATAAGGTCCCATGTCAAGGGCTATTTGTTGAAGGGGTTTTCTCCCCATGGTGGACCCTTCACTGGTACTGATAGCTATGGACCTCATTGTAGAGTGCTCAAACACATTACATATACACACACACAAATAACGCACCGATACCAAATATTTGGGCGAATTTTGCCCAAATGCTGATACTTACCTCTGATACCGGTATTTCCGCTTAAAGGGAGATCTCCCTCTGACCGGCAGAGCATGGAGCCGGCTTCCTTTCCAATCAGGACGCCAGGAGGTGGGTTATGACTGATTGGCTAGAAAGCCGGCTTTACTTGTTGCCAGGCAGCCTGGCTTCCTAACCAATCAGGAAGCCGGGCGGCACATAATGACCCCCCAATCAGGAAGCCGGGTGGCGGGTCATGACGTCCCTCCCAGGCTTCTTGATTGGCTGGAAAGCCTGCTTCACTTGTTGGTAGGCAGCCTGGCTTCCTAACCAATCAGGAAGCCGGGTGGCGGGTCATGACGTCCCTCCCAGGCTTCTTGATTGGCTGGAAAGCCTGCTTCACTTGTTGGTAGGCAGCCTGGCTTCCTGACCAATCAGGGAGCCGGACAGCACTTCATGACTCATCGCCCCGCTTCCTGATTGATCAGAAATACAGGCAACATCGGCAAGTAAAGCCAGTGTTCTTTCACTAGAACACCGGCTTCACAGGAAATCAAGAACGTTGGGCGACATGTCATGATCCCCTGCCCAACTTCCTGATAATCGGGCACCGGTACTCGGCATCAGCTAGTACCAGGAAAAAAAATATCAGTGCTCGAAAAACCGGTAACAGTGCATCCCTTTTATATAAACATACATACATACATACAGTGATGGCAAAAATTGTGGACACTTTTTGAAATGTTTATGTTTTGTAACTTTGCAGGCTTATAGGAAATGTTATTTTGTACCCAAAGCAAGTGTTTATATGTAATTTTAAAAGACAATGTAATGCTAAATTCAATACAAAACAAAATGCAAATTGTATGCAGTACAAAAAACGTTATGCAGGGAACACCGCAATCATGCTGAATATACTGTAATACACTTATGGTTTCAATATACTATCAGTATTTAGTAGGGTAGCCTTTAAAACCGCATCACAGCGACATCTCATTGAGCCACAAAGTGTTTGAAGCTCTACCTTCGTTATTATGTGGTGCCAGGAAGCAATTATAGCCTTAATTATTTGATGGACGCCTATATCATACAAGACTTTATAAAATTTCAAAAAGTGTCCACAATTTTTGCCACCTGTGTGATATATATATATATGTATGTATATTTTATATATATAGATATATATATA